ATGCTCTGTAGGCTGTGATGATTTATTCGGAACTATGCTCTGTCTATCCTTGTTAAGTACCCTGAGAATGAGACTGGCACTGAGGGAATTTAATGTGACACATAAAAGTAAGGAGTGTTGAAGAAAGCTGAAGGCTTTACAGCATTTAACCAGCTTGGATCCTCGCTCCATAGCAAGCCATTTTCCTTGAATTTGAGATGCCGAAAGTGGGAGAACACCTATTGCCTTGGGCCTGGCACTGTATCAGCGTAAACCAGGCTTCCTGGAGAGCGCCAGCTTGGAACGTGGCTGTGCTAAAGTGGATTAGCACCAGAAAGGCTCAACATTGGAGAATGAGCGTGATTAAAATTAAATAGGATCAGCAAGCTTGTTTAATTTTTATACAGGACAATTACACATCACCACTGCCACAGCTCATTTGGCTGCCACCCGTCCCTGCTCTACGGGCTGGGGTGTGAAGGGTTTGCTGTGAGCTGTGCCCTTGCTCACATCCTCCTGCAGCTCCTGTGCCTCCTGCCACCATCTCCTAACAGAGGCCTTAAGCACCAGAGCACCCAGATGGGGCAGGCTGGGGGAGCAGGGTGGGCTGAGGCGTTGGGAGCAGCAGGTTTCAGGTACCCAAGGTGTGACATTAACCTGCTGCAAGGGCTTCAGTCGCTCAGTCCCTTCCTGTGCTTGCCTTTGCAGGCAGGGCAGTAGTGCTTTGCTCGCCAGGCTTACAGGAGAAATCGCATCACTTGCTCTAGTCCCCTCCTGACCGTTTAAAAGAGCCCTTTAAAAGCTCTCTCCCTTTAGGAGATGAATTCCTTGCACATACTCTGCTTCCCAGGGACCTTCATGCAGAAACGCTCGTGCAAGGTAAGGTGCATGCAGGGAGTTAAGCTGCCTTTAATCCCTTCCCTCTTCCCCTGAGCTGAGCACACAATCCCCCGCTGTTACAGGAATCCACATTTAAATGTCGCTCTGTAGCTTAAAATCTGTGAGCAAGAAAGGGGAGGGATGTTCTAATTTGTTGTGGTGGGATGCTGCTGCCAACAAGCTGGAGCGATCACTGCTGCTGGCAGCAGCAGCCTCCTTACACTGCATTGCTCTTGATGCTCTGGAGCCTGGTGCTGCTCTTGCACCAAACGGGCACCCTCAAAGCCTAAACCAACAAAATGCCTTTAAAATTAGGTTTTAATTTCTTTGTAATTTACCAGGTGCATAGAACAGCTTGTGTGACATGGTGACATCCTTATAGAGGGCTCTGTGGGCAGCACTGCCCCCGGGCTGAGACCCAGGGGTTTCACATGGCCTTGCCTGCAGGATGTGGGGTGCAAGACAGGCAGTGTGGCCCCGTGCCAATGCAGGGGTTGCACCGGATGATCTGCAGAGGTCCCTTCCAACCTGAATGATTCTGGGGTTCCATGAGCATGGCACCACTTGGCTGCAGGCCTGGCTCTGTGAAATGCACCCAGTGACTCTCTTCAAGCCAGCCCCAAAGGACTGCCCCGGGTGCTTGTCCGGGGGCACCTGAGAGGGAGGGGGCAGAGGGAAGGGCTGTTCCTCCTCCTCTGCCACTTCCCGGTGGGTTCCACTGCTTTCGGGTTTGGCTGTGGTATTTAAAGCAGGTAGTGTATGGCAGGGGGGGTGGAACTAGATGATCTTAAGGTCCTTTCCAACCCTAACTGTTGTATGATTCTGTTCTATGCAGTGTGTGTATTTCCAGCAGGCAGTGTGTGCTATGCAGTGTGTGTATTTACAGCAGGCAGTGTGTGCTATGCAGTGTGTGTATTTCCAGCAGGCAGTGTGTGCTATGCAGTGTGTGTATTTCCAGCAGGCAGTGTGTGCTATGCAGTGTGTGTATTTCCAGCAGGCAGTGTGTGCTATGCAGTGTGTGTATTTCCAGCAGGCAGTGTGTGCTATGCAGTGTGTGTATTTCCAGCAGGCAGTGTGTGCTATGCAGTGTGTGTATTTCCAGCAGGCAGTGTGTGCTATGCAGTGTGTGTATTTACAGCAGGCAGTGTGTGCTATGCAGTGTGTGTATTTCCAGCAGGCAGTGTGTGCTATGCAGTGTGTGTATTTCCAGCAGGCAGTGTGTGCTATGCAGTGTGTGTATTTCCAGCAGGCAGTGTGTGCTATGCAGTGTGTGTATTTACAGCAGGCAGTGTGTGCTATGCAGTGTGTGTATTTCCAGCAGGCAGTGTGTGCTATGCAGTGTGTGTATTTCCAGCAGGCAGTGTGTGCTATGCAGTGTGTGTATTTACAGCAGGCAGTGTGTGCTATGCAGTGTGTGTATTTCCAGCAGGCAGTGTGTGCTATGCAGTGTGTGTATTTACAGCAGGCAGTGTGTGCTATGCAGTGTGTGTATTTCCAGCAGGCAGTGTGTGCTATGCAGTGTGTGTTTCAGCAGGCAGTGTGTGCTATGCAGTGTGTGTATTTCAGCAGGCAGTGTGTGCTATGCAGTGTGTGTATTTACAGCAGGCAGTGTGTGCTATGCAGTGTGTGTATTTCCAGCAGGCAGTGTGTGCTATGCAGTGTGTGTATTTCCAGCAGGCAGTGTGTGCTATGCAGTGTGTGTATTTCCAGCAGGCAGTGTGTGCTATGCAGTGTGTGTATTTCCAGCAGGCAGTGTGTGCTATGCAGTGTGTGTATTTACAGCAGGCAGTGTGTGCTATGCAGTGTGTGTATTTACAGCAGGCAGTGTGTGCTATGCAGTGTGTGTATTTACAGCAGGCAGTGTGTGCTATGCAGTGTGTGTATTTACAGCAGGCAGTGTGTGCTATGCAGTGTGTGTATTTCCAGCAGGCAGTGTGTGCTATGCAGTGTGTGTATTTACAGCAGGCAGTGTGTGCTATGCAGTGTGTGTATTTCCAGCAGGCAGTGTGTGCTATGCAGTGTGTGTATTTCCAGCAGGCAGTGTGTGCTATGCAGTGTGTGTATTCCAGCAGGCAGTGTGTGCTATGCAGTGTGTGTATTTACAGCAGGCAGTGTGTGCTATGCAGTGTGTGTATTTACAGCAGGCAGTGTGTGCTATGCAGTGTGTGTATTTCCAGCAGGCAGTGTGTGCTATGCAGTGTGTGTATTTACAGCAGGCAGTGTGTGCTATGCAGTGTGTGTATTTCCAGCAGGCAGTGTGTGCTATGCAGTGTGTGTATTTACAGCAGGCAGTGTGTGCTATGCAGTGTGTGTATTTCCAGCAGGCAGTGTGTGCTATGCAGTGTGTGTATTTACAGATATGCAGTGTGTGTATTTCCAGCAGGCAGTGTGTGCTATGCAGTGTGTGTATTTACAGCAGGCAGTGTGTGCTATGCAGTGTGTTCCAGCAGGCAGTGTGTGCTATGCAGTGTGTGTATTTACACAGGCAGTGTGTGCTATGCAGTGTGTGTATTTACACAGGCAGTGTGTGCTATGCATGTATTTCCAGCAGGCAGTGTGTGCTATGCAGTGTGTGTATTTACAGCAGGCAGTGTGTGCTATGCAGTGTGTGTATTTCCAGCAGGCAGTGTGTGCTATGCAGTGTGTGTATTTACAGCAGGCAGTGTGTGCTATGCAGTGTGTGTATTTCCAGCAGGCAGTGTGTGCTATGCAGTGTGTGTATTTACAGCAGGCAGTGTGTGCTATGCAGTGTGTGTATTTCCAGCAGGCAGTGTGTGCTATGCAGTGTGTGTATTTACAGCAGGCAGTGTGTGCTATGCAGTGTGTGTATTTACAGCAGGCAGTGTGTGCTATGCATGTGTGTATTTACAGCAGGCAGTGTGTGCTATGCAGTGTGTGTATTTCCAGCAGGCAGTGTGTGCTATGCAGTGTGTGTATTTACAGCAGGCAGTGTGTGCTATGCAGTGTGTGTATTTCCAGCAGGCAGTGTGTGCTATGCAGTGTGTGTATTTACAGCAGGCAGTGTGTGCTATGCAGTGTGTGTATTTACAGCAGGCAGTGTGTGCTATGCAGTGTGTGTATTTACAGCAGGCAGTGTGTGCTATGCAGTGTGTGTATTTCCAGCAGGCAGTGCATAGCTGAAACACTACAGAAACTACCCAAAGGTGGAATACAGAACATTTGCTGCCCGTTACAGAGGACCCTTGGCAATCTTCCCCTCTCCTTTCCCTCCTGCAGCCGGGGCCGCTCTGTTCCGCAGCGTGCATCCCCCTGCAGCAGCACATTGCCCCTTGGCCAGTTTTAATTAGCTTTCTCTTACAAAACCCGAATGTGGAACACGGAGCTCTGTCAGCTCAGACCTTCAGCTGGGGCTCTCCTGGGAGCAGGGGGAGGCAGGGCTGGGGAGAGGGCTCTGGGCTCAAGCTGAAGCCTCTGTCAAACAGCTCTTGCAGCCATGGGGAGACATGCCCGCGCTCCCCACTGAGCTCTCCCCAGGTACGAGGGGCTGGGAAGCAGGTTGTGATGGAAGATCTTAAGGGGGGGTAAATCAGTGTGCTCTGCTTGATTCTGCTGCTGCTCTGCAGGAGAAAAGGGGGCAAAAAATGGGCTTAAACAGAGCAGCGTGTGGTGACTCACTGCCAGAGTGGGGTGAGCTGCTCCCCTGCCAGGGAATGGAGGATAAATCTGACCTCTGCCAGGTTACCAGATCTCATGGAAGAAAATCCGGTTTCTCTGTGGCTGTGGAGGGAGCCTGGGCAGAGCCAAGTGCACTTCTCAGGCAGCAGGGGTGGAGGGGAGCTGGGGTTTAATTGGGGCTTGCTATGCGGTGATTAAAGCATCAGACAGGGAGGTGGCTGTGAGCGATGGCTGGAGGAGGAGGAGGATGCGCTGAGCAGGCTGCAGGGGGGAGGGAGGTTATGGCAGTGCTCTGCCCCACGGATGCTGTCTGTGCTGCTGCCCCTCTCGTGTCAGCCCTCAGTTCATGGGGCAGAGCTGCTGTCCTTGGGACCCTCCTCCTCCTGCTCTGGGGCCATACTGGTAGGTGAGGACAGGAGGCTGCTGTAACACACCATCTCTGCCCCCACACCTGATGTGTCTCCTGTTGCCCTCCACTCCCATGTCACCCCTTCCTGTCCTTGCAGGGCTGCAATGTCATGGAAGACCAGGACCTTCGGGACATTGGGATCAGTGACCCACAGCACCGGCGGAAACTGCTCCAGGCCGCTCGCTCCCTCCCGAAGGTCAGTGCTGACTCCATCACGTGAAGCAGGGGGGGCATTGCCCAGAAGGGTGGAAGCAGAGGACGCAGAAGCCAGTCCCTGTAACTCCAGGGATCTCAGGGGTTGTGGGAAGGGTTTTGGGAATATCAAGGAGGAGGAAGAGTATATTCATCTGCCAAGCTATGTGGATGGGATGACTGCAGGGGAGAGGGTGGCTGCCCCTTCTGCCAGGCTTGATCCCAAGTGCATTCCCTGTTCATAGGGTGACTGTTTTGCTTTAAAGCTTCTAGTGGGGATGATGATGGCCTTTAAACTGATTTTAATTGGTGCTGTATGCCTTGGAATCCCTGGAGCTTTTAACCCCTATCTTGTGCTTTTACAGTTGAAACCCCTGGGCTGTGATGGGAACAGCCAGCCTTCAGTTCCTGCATGGCTCGACTCCTTGGGGCTGCAGGATTACATCCAGTCCTTCCTCTCGAGTGGCTACAGCTCTATTGACACTGTGAAAAACCTCTGGGAGCTTGAAATAGTAAATGTGAGTGTTACCCTTCTGCCATGCTGTGAGGTCCTACCCATGTTCTCTCTGGGGCTCTGACTTGCAGTGAGTCACAGAATCCCAGAATCATTAAGGTTGAAAGGGATCTCTGGAGATCATCTGGTCCAACCCCCTGCTCTCCTTCAGACTAACCAGGCCCAGCTCCCACAGTCTCTCATAAAGGAGATGCTCCAAACCCCTGATCATCCTGGTGCCCCCCACTGGACCTCTCCAGTAGCTCTCTTGTCCTGTTAGGAGCCCAGAACTGGACACAGTGCTCCAGATGTGGCCTCACCAGGGTCAAGCAGAGGCACCCCAGGATCCTCTTGTCCCTCCTGGCTCAAGGGTACACTGCAGCTCATGGTCAACTTGTCATCCACCAGCACGCCCGGGTCCTTCTCAGCTGAGCTGCTCTTTAGTAGGTCAGCCCTGACCTGTGCTGGTGCTTGGAGTCCTTCCTCCCCAGGCACAGAACCCTGCACTGGCCCTGGTTGAACCTCGCTAGGTTTCTCCTTACCCAGTTCCCCAGCCTATTGAGGTCCCGCTGAGTGGCAGCACAGCTCAGATGTGTTAAACAGGAGCAGCACAGCTCGGGGAGGGGAAGCTTTGCTTGTGCCAGGGCAGGAAAACCCCCAGTGACGGTGAGGCTGTCCCTCCAGGTGCTGAAGGTGAACCTGCTGGGCCATCGGAAGCGGATCATCGCCTCCCTGGCAGACAGACCATACGAGGAGCCACCAGCAAAGCCACCGCGCTTCTCGCAGCTGAGAGTGAGTCAGTGTTTGTGTCCCAGCTGGGCCCCTGTAGGACGTGCTCAGCACTGGCTGGGGCCTTCCCTCTGCCCTTCACTTCCATCCCTTTCTTTCACAGAGCTACACCTGGGTCTGTCGGGAATAACTGTTCCCTCTCTAACCAGCAGCTCTCACCCCGGGGGGACTCAGTGATGTGCTGAGGATGTTTACTGGGAGCTCAGGTCCTGGCTGGGTATTGAGGCTCAGAGCTCAGCCATGTTCAGCTTTCCTCTGCTGCTCTCATGCACAGGAATTCTGCTTAGCAAAATCAATAAAAAGGGGAGGGGGGAACCCACTACAATGTCAGTATTGAAGTTAAAACTCCTTTGAAGGCAAGGATTGAGAGTAAGCATAGAGAGTGATCTTTGAAAACTGCACTGCTTTGGAAAAGAAGGAAAGGATAAAATCTGAAGAGCTTGTTTCTCATTAAAAGTAATCAGTCTGCCCTGGCAGCTTGGGTTCCTCCTGGTTCTCAGGTACTGGGTGGTTTGGAAGGAAGTTCTTGAAGCATTGAGGCAACTGCACATCTGGTTGTGTGGAGGAGGAGGTGTTTGCTGTTACCAGTTCCCATGGATGCACCTTGGCTGCTGCTGGAGCAGCAGAGCCCAGAACTCCCACTCCATGGGCAAGCATAACTTGGGGAATAACAGCCCGGCTGGCTCTGGCTTGGCCCCAGCACCTGGAGCCCTTGGGCAGAGTTAAAACAGATCTAACAGCTTTCATTTTGTCCTGTCCAGTTCCTGCCCCACAACAGCAAATGTCACTGTTTGTTTGTTCACTTGTGCTCTAGCGGGAGTGGTTCAGTTTACCCACACTTGGCTTTATTCTGTGCACGTCAAACTGCATCTTCGTGTGTGAAACAAAGCTCAAGTGTGTGCACACAGCAGTGCTGGAAGAAGTGATGTGGCCTGTTGTATCTGTTCAGCTTTTCACCTGCATCAACTCCAGCGACCCAGGCAGCAGATCCTCACACAGATGTGACCCTGCTATTGAAATCATAGAGTGGTTTGGGTTGGAAGGACCTTAAGCTCATCCAGTCCCAACCCCCTGCCATGGGCAGGGACACCTTCCACTAGACCATGTCACCCAAGGGCCTGTCCAACCTGCCTTTCAGAAATGAGAGATGGGAGGTGATGTTCAGCCCTTGCAGGTCAGGTTCTGGCTGCCTCCCCATGGGAAACATTAGGCAGCTCCTTCGGTCAGGTGCCTCTATGCAAGGTGGGTGCCTGCACTGAACAGAGAACTGAACAGAGCTTTCTTCCCCTTGTTCCCTGGCCAGAGGTAAGGTGGCCTTCCCATGGGGAGTAATGTGGCATGGCTCAGCTGGGATGGGATGTAGCTGGGTCCTGTTTTGACTGTGCTGGCTGGGAGTCTGAGATCCCTCTCCCTGGGCTGGTTGGGCTTCTGTCGAGCTCTTGCTGCACACGATGTGATTTGTGGATGATGGTTTTTTGCTGCGGGAGTGGCAGCCTTTGGATGTCAGGCCCTTGGTTGGTTGCCTCATTCACTGTTCTTCCTGAAAAATGGCATTTGAGAGAGGAGTTGGGCAAACCCATTGAGTTTGCAGTTCACCTGCGGCCTCAGGAGCAGGGCAGTGTGCCATGGAGTGGGAGCACAGCATCCTGCTTCCTCCCAGTGCTTGCAGATTAGCTTCCTGGAGCAGGAATTGGAGGCTCCCCATCCCAAACATGTGGTCCTTGCCCTGTTGCACAGCTCTTCCCTCTCGCTTTGGATTCCCAAAGCTTTTCAATGAGCTGAAGTGAGTTGAGCTGCGGTGCCCTGCTTGTTACAGAGGATTTTATAGGAACTGAGGTTCTGGTGTAAAAAAGAGGGGATTTACCCTGATACTGCACTGGGAACGGGCGCTCAGGAGCTGTGTACAAGCCCTGCACCTTCACCCTGCTGCCCTGTTCCAGCTACAGAACCCCTGCTGGGCAGCAGGCAGTGAGGATCCACTCCTGCAGGCACAGGGGGGTGTCTGGGGGGGCGGAGAGGAGTCCTTAGTGCAGCCTCCACTGATTGCTGTGCTCTACAAGGAGGCTGCGGGAGAGAATGGGCCATTTACAGCATTTCCTGGTGCTCCAGCTGGTGGGATCCGGAGCCTGGCTCTGGCTGGGGAGCGGAAGGACGTCAATGGCAAATTAAGCCAGGCTGTTGAATAGGATTAATGTGTGTTGCAGCTGTGAGCTTCCCACTTTGTCTGCTGGGCTGGTTGGCACGTCCAGGCGGTGGATCTTGCCTGCAGTAAGAGCCAGGCTGTCGGGCATCTGGGTCAGGCTCTTGCTGGGCTCCCAGGGCTGTTCTCCTGGGGTGGCTCAGCAGCAGCAGCAGCAGCTTCAAGTGCCTTGCTTAGTGCTTCAGTGGGGCCTGTTCCTCTGTCACCACCCTGGTCAGGGCTCAGTGTCTCTCCTGGGATGTGCTCAGCAGAAGGGGCTGCACAGCCACCCGGGAGCAAACCCAGGGGGATCGTGTGGCAAATAAGTGGTGGGATGGGAGGACAGGGAGGCAGGAGCCTGCAGAGCAGGAGCTGACCCCGTAACTCTGCTCACTGTGCCCTGGCACCGTTGAGGGGGTGAGGAGTGTCTCGGCTATGCACAGGCTGACCGGGGTTCGTGGTGTGCGCTTGTTTCAGTGCCAGGACCTGATGTCCCAGGCGTCGTCCCCCCTGAGCCAGAGCGACTCCTGCACGGGCAGATCTGCTGATCTGCTGCTGCCCTCCGGGGACACCGGCAAGAGGCAGCAGGACTGGGGCACCGAGGCTGCTCCCTACTCCAGAGCTGAGCGCTACAAAGCACAGGTCAGCGGGTGCTTCTGCGTGTCCTTGGGTCCCTCTGTGCAGGACCCCCCCTCTCTGGAGCCAGTGGGGAGTCAGGATGATGCACAGGGGCCAGGGAGGGGGTCAGGGACAGAGTCCATCAGGCACCAGAGTCAGCACTGTCACTGGCAGCATCCTGCCTCCTCCCAGCCGCTTGGGCGTGGGACTTGGCCATGGCCGTTCTGAACCCCAGTTGCATCCAGCCCAAGAACATCCCAAGATGTGTTTCAACCCAAGCTGGACCTCTTGTGGCTTCACATCATGTTTCTTGCCCTGCAGGAGGACCGTCGGGAGTCAAAGCTGACCCTGCGCCCCCCCAGTCTGGCTGCCCCCTACGCCCCAGTCCAGAACTGGCAGCACCAGCCAGAGAAGCTCATCTTCGAATCCTGTGGGTATGAGGCCAATGTAAGTGTCTTTTGACTCGTGGGCTGTTGAGCATGAGGAGGCTCCAGGGTCAGGTCGTGCTTCCTCCCCTCCCTGAGTGACGTGTCCCTCCCCATCCATCATCTCACGAGACCCCACTTGCAGCACTGGGTGCAGTTCTGGTGTCCCCAACACAAGAAGGACATGGAGCTGTTGGAGCAAATCCAGAGGAGGCCACGAGGATGCTCAGGAGCTGGAGCATCTCCTGGATGGAGCCAGGCTGAGAACACTGGGGCTGTTCAGCCTGGAGAAGAGAAGCTGTGGGGAGACCTCAGAGCAGCTTCCAGTGTCTGAAGGGGGGTACAAGGATGCTGGAGAGGGACTCTTCATCAGGGACTGCAGTGACAGGACAAGGGGTGATGGGTTCAGACTGAAACAGGGCAAGTTCAGGTTGGATCTAAGGCAGAAGCTCTTCCCTGTGAGGGTGCTGAGGCGCTGGCACAGGGTGCCCAGAGAAGCTGTGGCTGCCCCATCCCTGGCAGTGCTCAAGGCCAGGTTGGACACAGGGGCTTGGAGCAAGCTGCTCCAGTGGAAGGGGTCCCTGCCCGTGGCAGGGGTTGGAGCTCAGGAGCTTCAACCCAAACCAGGCTGGGATTCTATGATCCATGGCTGCTGGCTGCTCGCGGGCCATGACATTCCCTTGGCTGTTGCAGGGTTCCCTGCCTGAAGCCTTTAACATCTCTCCCTCTTCCAAACAGTACCTGGGCTCCATGTTGATCAAAGACCTCCGGGGGACAGAGTCTACGCAGGACGCCTGTGCCAAGATGAGGGTATGGCAGCCATGGGTACAGGGGGGCTTCCCTCACAGCCTGTGGTGGGTGATGTGGAGATCTCAGGGAGTTGTGGCTCCCCAAATGGGGAGGTCTCAGTGAAGCTGTGGCTCCCCAGACCCTGCCCATGGGCACAGCAGGGGCCCAGAGCACCTGTAACAGGCTATGCTGTTGTTGCTGCTGAACTCCCCCCAGCGCTTCCCCATAGCTGGAAGGTCTGTGCAGTGGGAGAACTGGTGTTTTCCCTGGGGAAAGGGGTGCTGGGTGCGTTTCAGGCTTTCCTCCTCCTGGTCCAGGACCCCCAAAGCCTGCCTTTGTGGGGCCTGGGGTTTCTGGGATGGACTGGGGCCCTGGCGAAGGAGAGAGCGTTTATTCACAACTGGTCACTTGAATGTTCTTGTTTCTGAAGAAATCCACAGAGCATATGAAGAAGATCCCGACCATTATACTGTCCATCACGTACAAAGGGGTGAAATTCATCGATGCCTCAAACAAGGTGAGCTTCAGGTGCCTTGAAGCTGGTGTCTGGAAAGGCAAGGCCTGCAGCCCCAGGGGATGGAGGTCACGTTTCTTGGCTCAGGGAGCTCCCTGGGCTATGGGAGGGCACCAAGGTGGTGGTGTTACCTGAATGCCAAAGGCCTGGCAGACTGGCTGTTTGTGGACTGTGTTTCCATTGATTCCTGCCATGGGAATCTGGCTGGGAGCCTCCCCCTCTGCCAGTACCTGCTTTGCTCCCTGCCTCCAGTACTCGTGTGCCACAGCCAGCGGGTGGTTTGCTGGGTGTATTTGCCATCCCCAGAAGGGTGAGAAGTGCTTATGGTTGACCCTGACAGAATGTCATTGCTGAGCACGAGATCCGGAACATCTCCTGCGCTGCTCAGGACCCTGAGGATCTCTGCACCTTCGCCTACATCACCAAGGACCTGCAGACCAGCCACCACTACTGCCATGTCTTCAGCACCGTGGACGTGGTGAGTGGGTCACTGCATCTCCCAGCGTGCTGCAGTCCTTTGCAGGCCCCTTGTTTCATCACTCAGCTTTGTTGGCGAGTCACAGACCTGGGTCTTTCACCTAAAGAGTGAAAGAAAGAAAGTTCTTTCACCTAAAGAGCTGGGGTTCTTTCACCTAAAATAAGCCTTTCAAAGTCCTGGCTCAAAATGCTTTTACTTTGGAGCTCTGTCGACAAACAGAACATTTGTGTGGCTTCATTACTGCGGTCTCCAGTATAAAGAGAGTTTTCCCCTCCTGGGGAATATACAAAGCCCTGATACGCTCTCAGCTGTGTTGGGTGTACCAGGCTGATTTAACAGCCTTTTCATTCACTGAATGAGGGGAGCAGAACTTGCTTTTATTCTCGGGCAGAATCAGCTGTACGAGATGATTTGGCTTTTTTCTCTTTACAATGCAAACGGCTGCTCAACCGCTCTGTGTTGTGTGTTCTCTCCAAAGAACCTGACCTACGAGATCATCCTCACGCTGGGGCAGGCGTTCGAGGTGGCCTATCAGCTGGCCCTGCAAGCCCAGAGAGCAAAGCCCCTGGGTGCTGGGGCAGGAGAAGCCATTGAAACAAAATCTTCCAAACCGGTGCCTAAACCGCGAGCCGGCATGAGGAAATCTGCAGTGAGTGCCCCTGGCCGGGGGGATCTGGGATTTCCCTTGGGCTTAAACACGCACCTAAACCTTCCCCTTGGTGGTGAGGGCAGCCCAGGCACAGACAGGGTGCCTTTAGGTGCAGATAGGACACCCATAGCTGTAGGCACCACTGATGTTGCAGTGTCTGTGGCTCTGGTAGCAGTCCTGCTGCAGTGTTAGGGCTTCCCCTGGTAGGATGAGGACAAGGTGGGAATAGCCTGGGTGGGATGGGATCTAAGTACGCTGCTGTATCCAGCACAGCTTCCATTGTGCAAACCCAGCAGGGCCACAGTACATAGCAGATAGCCTGCAGTTTGCAGTATGGGAGTGCTCCGGTAGCCAAAACCATCCAGGACTGGAGCTGCTGAGGAGCAGGGACTGCTGCATAAGCCTTTGCCTTCCTTTAATGTCTCCTTTTGTCTGTGTTGTGCTTGCTCCCCCCGCTCAGGTGCCGCTCCCTCCCGACACCCGCTGTTGTTACTGTCACACGTGTACAACACACCGCCCCTCCTACCTGCCGCTGCAGTCTGTTAGTCCCGGAGCCAAGGTCTTTACCCTTCTTCCTGCCACCTTCCCTTGTGATCCCACCTGGGCCAGCCCCGCTGCCCCCAGCCCGCTTCCCGTGCCTCTTGCTGTGCTCCCGTGTCCTGCCTCGCTGCTGTCTTCCCTCCCTGCTCGTTCCAGGGCCGTGCCATGGGCTCAGATGACCCCAGGGATAAAGCACTCATGTCCTCATACCCTCCCCTGCTGATGTAGAGTGGCAGCTCTCAACTAACTGCGTTGCTCTTTCTGGTGTTGTTAACCTTCCTGTAGGATCCTGATTAAAGAGGACAAGATGAAAGAGCCATGCTTGGTCAAGAGAGTAAATCACTTGGGAGTTCACCTGCCAGAGCTGTGTCCCCTCTCCCTCTGCCTCTTTTATTTTGCTTCTTATAGTGCCATCTTTATAGCACTCTGTATTTCTCATGCTTGTTTGTAAAAGGAAGTGAAGCTGTCACTAATGGTCACAGGGGCTTGCAGGCCTAACGCAGGAGGTCCCCTCAAGGTGCTGGGTTGAGACTGATGTGGCTAGACACGTTTTAGCTCACATTCAGCACCCGGTGTGTGTGGGGAGCTGCTTCCCTGCACTCATGCGTGGTTTTGGGATGGGCGTTAGGCAGAGCAGCAGCCCCTCCATGCTTTGAATCCCAGATTCACGGGTGACCTGACACATCCTTTCTCTCCTTACTCTCCAGCTGGAGCCCCCTGAAGTGGACCAAGACTCCCAGTCTCATGCCAGCGTCTCCTGGGTCGTGGACCCCAAACAGGACTCCAAGCGGACCCTCAGCACTAAGTATGAGACCACTATCTTCTAAAGCAAACACACCCCGTGTCCACCCAGTCTAACCGTGCCTTTGCGATCTGATCTGTCCGCTCTAAACCCCCTCTCCCTCCAGCTGCTCGCACTGAGCCCCGCGTAGGCACTACGTCAATGGCAGCAGCACTTAGGAGACTGTAGACTTAAAACCGGCTTTTGTACCCGATCACTGCTGAACACTGTGAATTCTCCTTACTCGGAAACAAGGGTAACACGCTCATAGGTATCCGTGAGGCGGGAGGCGCAGGGGGTGCAGGCTGGGGAGCCGGAGCTCTGGAGCCAGGAAGCCTCCGGCCGTTGTCACGTCTTTCCCCTCGCTCTGGCACTGTGAATCCCTGGGGCAATGTGACACCCCCCAGGCCTTTTCTTTTCTAGTTCACCTTCTTCTCCTTGGACTGATGGAGACCTCTTGTCTCTGCGGTGCACTCCCTCCTCCTGCACCCTCTCCTTCCCGACTGAGCCACGGCTGCGTACTGTTCAGTGAACTCACCCCTCTTCTTACCTGCCGTTCGACTCGACACTAACCACTGTGATGCTGTCTGCAGATAACACACCTTCACTAGGTTGCCTCACGGGGACCCTTGCCCACAGTCTCTCCCCGTGAAGCCTGAAGCAGAAAACCTGCTCTGATGGGAGCATTGGTTCGGGCTGGGAGTGATCGTTCCCACTGTGAGCTCTGTCCCCCTCACGAGTGAGCTGGGGTTCTGGTTTCATGCATTTCACCCCTTGTAAGATTCTTTTCCCCCATAGTCCTGTTTACACTTGCCAAACTTCAGCGCTATGGGCATAGTTCTCACTTTGCAGATTATAAAGAGGTTAAGCTTTTAAAGGCACATGTTGTTAGCCCGTGCTGGGAAGGAAAGGTGTTGGAGGGGCTGGACACTCTGCTGCTCAAGCAGATGGAGCTCTGCGGTGTTGAGCAGACTTACTTTTTTGCCAAAGGGAGAAATGGAATTGAAATCAGTCTGCTGCTGATCCCAAAGCTTGTTTTCAGCCTACAAACCATTGCACAGTGAGGGCTGCAGGGATCTTGAAACATCTGTCACCTTCCACCCTTGAGAGCAAGGATTTCACTCGGAAGTGGCCCTTGCATCAGTGGCCACCTCTGCTTTTTCTGGCTGCTTCTCAAGTGCATATGTTTTTCCTCTGGGAAAATGTCCCTATTTCTGTGTAGAAATGCTACTTTCTCAGTAGAAGCAGTTTTTAATTCCAGAATATGACTGGGAATCGTTTGCATAGGATGGCAGAGCAACTGTCACAGGGCAGAGCAGGGTCTGGGGATGCTGTTACGGTGGTGAAAGCCCCTATGAGCCATCCGTGGCCTGCCCTTGGTTCCTTCACTTGTGTTTGCAAAGCTCACCGAGCTCAAACAGAGGAGGAGGAGGAGGAGTTGATGACTCTACAGCACCGGGAGGCACAATTCCTGACCCCCTGCTGCTGCTCTCGGAGTGGCTGTGTCCAAGCGATGGCACCTGTCAGTTTCCCTGTGTAGGAGATGGGGATGTGCTTCCCTCTAAGGGTGGAAGGCTCCTTGTGTTTGCAGAGCAGTTTGAAGACCCTTCAGTGAAAGGCTCTGTGACTTGTTCCACGACATGGCAGTAACCCTCCAGCGCCCTCCTCAGAGGTGAAGTCCAAAACTCCAGACTCAAAGCAAAGCTGGATCCGGGACCCCCAGCAGCTCCGAGCAGATGGGGCTGTGGCTGTGGCTGTGTGGTAGTTGGGCTGCACAGAACTCGCTGACGTGCACCCTGGTGTCAGTGAACTCACTGTGGGTTTCATACCCTGGCAAAACCCCCTCACAGCCCAGTTCTGGAGCGGTGCTGGTGATGGTGGGTTTGTACTGGTGAGCTGGGAAGAAAGGTGGGCAGCAGCTCCCTGCTCACCTCTGTGTGACATGTCTGGTGGGCACCTTAGTTAGAAATGGGGAGGAGGGCACACTCGGATCCCCAGTAAAGCTCCATGTCCAAGTAACAGAATTTACCCCAAATCTTTGGTCGTCACCAGCTGGCATCAGTGGGGAGGTCACAACAGCAGCCCTGGGTTATCGCACCTGGTATTTAGGGGCTAGAAGCAGCTTGTCTGAGTTTAGAGCTGTTGCTTCAAAGCTGATCTTTCCCCAGCCTTGTGGTGAAATCTGATGTTTCAAAATCTTGATTCAGCTCTTTCTCAGGAGTGAATTTGATCTCCCAAGTCATTTGTGGCTTAATGGCACTGAGCAGCAAACTGACTTCAAGCTGAGGGCTAGGCTGGTAAGAACCCAAGTGAGAGGAATAAAAAGATTGTCTTACAGTCATAGAAGAAGGAAGGCTCAGCCTAGTGCTTGTATTTCACATGCCATGGGAGCCTCTTACCGCAGAGCAAGTGCTCCTCTGCTTAAAGACCCCTTTCAGCTGCCTGAAGTGCTGCAGGGCCATCCTGCCAGCCGCAGTGTGGTGGACAGCAGGATACTGCTGCATCTGATGTGCTGTGAGAGGCTGGGGTTGGGGTCAGTCAGCATCTTTCCAAGCTGTAAGGGAGCCCTCAGGTTTACTGTATCCTTCAAAGAGAAACAGGATTGGTGTGGTAGCGCAGTTTCGATGTGTAAGCGTTTACCATGCCATAGACCACCCATACGCCTGACTCTAGAGGGTCTGGGCTCTTGCATCTCCCCTGCACTCAGCAGGTTCCTCAGCACCTCCCACACTGGGTCACCACAGCATGTGCCTTTCTAAGGGTGACCATCCAAACCCAGCTGGGATCACAGGCAGCTCTGCCTGAGCTAGAGCCCCTGCTGTGTGTCCATAACCCTCACGGTTGTGTCACATCCTGGCCGTGAGCCTCATCTTTCCCAGCACTTGTGTTTTATGACTCAGAAATCATTCATTCCATTATCTTCCTTTCTGTTTGCCTCTGCAAAGCTGAGCTCCGGGCAGCTGTCTCCTACCACGGACATGTAGTAACGGGGCAGAGACCTAAGAAGCAGTGGCCTGCTGACACGAAGATCATCTCCATCTGGTGTCTGCCTTGGAGTTGGGTGCATGGCTGCTCAGTGAGGGCTCCCAAAGCAGAGGGGGGAAAAGGGATCCCAGGCACCAGCTGAGGAAAGCAGCTCTCTCCATGTCTAGCAGAGGGAAGCTGAGACTTCTGAGAGCAATGTCACCTTTTCTAGCTTGACACAAATGTTTTTCAACCTGTTCCTTTAATAATGTGCAAAAATGATGCAGAGCAAATCCAGTTCACAGTTTAAATGTAGCACTGCAGGTATTTTTGTGAGGAAAAAAACAATAGATATCCTTATTTACTGAGAATCCACGCAGCCCTGAGTACAACAGGGAGTCTCAGTGGTGGGAGCGGTGTGCACATCTCTAACGGTACTTACATTTGCTTCAGTTCTGGGTGAACAGTAGAGAATGCCAAATTCCTGGAAATCCCTTCCTGCAGCGTGAGAAGCCTGGCAGGGGAAGCGCAAGTGGAAACAGCTTGAGTCTGCAAAGGATCTTTCACCCAGAGTGCTTGTGGCCAAGTCTGCCGATGGTACAGAGCTTGCTTCCCCTACAGAGAACTCTTGCATTGCAATACTTGATGTTTCTATGGCAAGGACACAATTTCTTCCCATTTTTCCGCACTGAACCCCTGGAGATGAGTCCCTTCTCCAGTCTCGTGTGCACCTGAGTTGGTTTTAAATGCAGTTATGCCCTGAAGGGTTGAGGGTCTGGGGTTTTTTAAAGTCTATTCAATTGTGATTTAGCACTTTTTTGATACTAGCTTGTTATTTAATTGGTGCAACCGATTCAGAAGGTGAACAAATAAGGAGTTAAATTTTGGGCATTACACTGAAACAGTCCATACCCCAGGAGAAATCAGACCAAGCTGAGGATGGCTCAGCCCCCATCTCAGTCCAGGATCCCCAAAACCGCCATCTCAAAGGTGCCATTACTTTTCTTCCCAATTAGCAGGGTATCTGACAGCAGTTTGGGCTGTGACTGATGTCTCTTCACACAGCACTGACTGCTCCCCTCAAGGGAGAGGTGTTAAAATGTGATTTTCATTCTTCACACACACAAATGTAGCACAGCACGTGTGTAACCTCGACAGGCATTATGATGGTTGGGGATGTGGTACCTGCTGCTTTACTCTGATGGTATGCCCAGATAATTTCTGTTTAACTCCAGTTGCTGCTGTATGTCAGGATTTCATTTAGTCTCTCTAGCCAGTGAGGCAGAGAGGGATGATCCGTAATCCCAAGGGCATAGACCTGTAAATGATAAGGAGGGGGAAGTGGAGATGATTATTTTTTAAGTTGATGAATTTAGGAAACCTAACATTCCTTGTTCTGCATATGTTGCATTCATACTGGTGTTAAGTGTAAATATTTGGTGTGTTGGCAACAAGTCTTTTTGGAGAGATTGCAAATTGAACCTCTGCTTGGGAGGAGGGACAGCTTTCTTTTTACTTGCATGAGCTTTTCGAAGGTTGGCTTGGAGGTGATGTGGTGATGAAGACTCCAATCTTCAGGGGACTGTGCTTAGTGACCCTGGTGGTCCTTTCCAGTCCTGTGTGTGATCCTGTGGTTGTCTTTAGTGATCCAACAGTTCTTTAGCCAGATACTCTCTTTCTCGCTCCATAGACAAAGCAGTTGTTTTGGCAGTGCATATTCCCCTTCTATTTCAATGGGTTTTCTCAAGGTACTTGCATGCTGGAGACAGATCCTGGACCATGCCAGTCCCTGACTCCCAGTCATGTTATCCCACCCATTGCACAGTATTCTGCCTCTTCCTCCCTCCAGGGTTTTATGGTATCTGGGAGGAAAGTGCCCTAAATTTCTGGTGCTGAATATGACTTTTGACTCAAAATGCATCTGCTGTATTCTCTGCCTGGAAAAGGTGGTGCTGCCCTGGGCCTCAGTCCCCTCTTTTAAGGCCAGATTGTGGTTTACAGAGTTTGGATTGTGCGTGGCATGAGTCCAGGCTGAGAACTCAAGATAAGTAACCGAGATGCAGAGTTGTCCTTTTTTATATAGGAGGGGATGAACTTTTTTGGTTTGTTTGGTTTTGGGTTTTTTTCCCCCAGGTTGAAGCTGCTTTATCTTTTTTAATTTTGTACTTACAAGGAAAAACAAATGTCATTCAGCTGCCATTGAACTTGCTTTGGGATTGTTCTTTTATGAAGAAATTACGTAACTTTGGTGGGGTATGTGCCTGTCCCCTCCCAGGGAGAACATGCAGCAGCTTCCAGGCTGTACCTCTAGTGACAAGTCTGCACCTTCACAAGGCTGCTGAGACAGACCAGATGCCAAATAGTCCCTCTGAAGCCACCCCGTTCTATGGGCAGCTGAAGTGGAGGCAGTTGCTCTAATGCTCCTTCCACTGCACTTCAGCAGTTTCTAGCAGCACAGTTTCCCCTAGCTTCCTTCTGCTGACTTTGTTTCCATGCAATCAGACCTTTATTTTAGAGGTGTTTGCAACACTCTTGTTGCTAAAGGTCTCCCTTTTATGTTTCCTATTGGCATTGCTTCCTGTATTATTTTATTTTCCCAAAAGAAAGTACCTGTGCTGCTCTTGCAAAGTCAATCTAGCTCAAACATTTTTCTTACCCATGGAAGAATAACCTGAGATTCCCTAAGAGGGCAGAGAACACTCACGTTCAGTTTGCAATGTAGTCATTTTTGCTAATTGTGATGTATGGCAGTGGGACTGATTTGTAATACAAATGTTATTTAATCTGTCTGTATTTTGATACTTGAATTTCCTTTTATTTCCTGTATATACAATTGTTAATCTGTTCAAATTTGTCTGAATTTTGAAACATCTTGTGGTACCAAACATAACCAATCTGTGCAACAACATAGACTGACCTCACTACAACAAGGCGAGAGTGTAAATATTTCTGGGCTTCCAGCAGTCGTTTTGTTGTTTTCAGAATTGTACAACTTAGAACAGACTGAATTAATAAACCAACTTAGACACGTGTTGCCCTCTTGTCACTGTGACCGACCCCAGGGTGACACCAAAGGCTCCTGTTCTTCCGTGTTACAGCAACGCTGTTCCTGTCCTCAGCCAGCAGACCTGACCTGTGAAGGTAAGAGAAGAGGGGGGTGAGGGATGGCAGATTTGTGGTGTTTGATTGGATACTCCAGCACCTGTGCTTCCCCACTTTGTAAATCCAAGGAAAGAGGAAGCATTGGAGCACTGCACAGAGGTGACATCTGCTGACCCCAAAGTAAGAAGGACATGGAGCTGTTGGAGCAAGTCCAGAGGAGGCCACAAGGATGCTCAGGGACTGGAGCACCTCCTGTATGGAGCCAGGCTCAGAACACTGGGGCTGTTCAGCCTGGAGAAGAGAAGCTGCGTGGGGACCTCAGAGCAGCTTCCGGTGTCTGAAGGGGGCTACAAGGATGCTGGGGAGGTACTGTGCATCAGGGACTGTAGTGACAGGACAAGGGGTGATGGGTTCAGACTGAAACAGTGCAAGTTCAGGTTTGATCTAAGGCAGAAGCTCTTCCCTGTGAGGGTGCTGAGGCGCTGGCACAGGGTGCCCAGAGAAGCTGTGGCTGCGCCATCCCTGGCAGTGTTCAAGGCCAGGTTGGACACAGGGGCTTGGAGCAAGCTGCTCCAGTGGAAGGGGTCCCTGCCCATGGGATTCTGTGATGCACTCTGGTTGTGGAAGCAGAGCAAAGGGCACTGAAACTGGGAGCAGTCCTGCTGTAGTTGAGTGGTGTGGGATGGGGAGTGGTGCCTGCTGTGCAGTCGTTTCTTTTGGTTGAAGCTGCTCTGTCTGCGCTTAGTCATAATGACCGCAAACATGGAGTGTCATTGTTTTGAGACAAATGCGTTATTTATGCGTAAGAACACATCCACTGGCTCTGTTCAAGATCTCCAGCCACTTTGGGTATGGTGAGAAATGTTCATTTGTACCCCCATTACTGTGCGCCTGGAAGGATTGTTCCATTGGGACTGAGAGGACCCTCATTTACTAATGATGAACAGTGAAATCACAGCAGCCAGTGGTTCATGTGACAGCAGCCACTGGATTTAGTATTTATCCAGCAGAGATCTTGAGCTTGCCAACAAATAGGACATTTTCATGATGTAAAATTAGAGCAAGAAATCTAGACAGGTTAAAGTTCCCATTTTCATGTCAAGTGAAATCTGGCTGATGTGAAATACTAAATACACCAGGGATTGCTAAATTTATACCATATGTTCCATTTCTAATAATTCAGTCAGGTTTTCAAGCTACCATTGAACCATATTGAGCAGATTTAATGATTTTAAATACCATGTGGCCTTATCAAATGCAAACAGCATCCCTGGGCTGTGACTAAAGCTTCAGCAAAGTAGGTTACAGACCCATGGCAGAATTAACACCTTGAATTAAAACAGGCTGAGCTCCTCTGCAGCTGTACCAGCTCCACATCCTGTTGCCTTCCCCACCAAATAGTGGCAGGTTTGGGGGAAAAAGCAGCACTACGTTTTGTAGTTGGGAGGTTTATTCAGATACAGACATGCAGAGTCACTGCACAGTAGTAATGCTGGTCCCTGTGGATTTGTCCAGTTGATTTTTACGAACTGAGGCATGATTTGAGGTACTGTGGGAGGAAGTGTTCCACCTCTGCCAGGTGGTGAAGAAGATCAGAAAGAATCCACTTGATCTGAGTCTGGTTCTGCATCTGGGAGAAGCAGCTTCGTGAGAATTCCTGAGTGGTGAGCTCCAAACTCCTGCCTGTTGTGGTGGATCACACTTCCAAACCTGCTCCCAGCTTCCCACAGCTCTTCTGAACAGAACCAAGGCTCTTCACTCTGTCCATCAGGGGAAATGAAAAGGCAGAGGAAGGAATGAATGGATCTGCTGCTCTGTAGGGAGAGGAAGTAAGCAAACAAAACTAAATCTACAGTCAGCACAGGAAGCTTCCTCGTGCCAGCAAGAGTAGATCTGAAGGCAGGCACGTTGTGGTGGGATGTTGTGGACGAGTAACGCAGTGGGTGGATTCAGGGACACAGTGGATTAATGTATTCCTCTTCCATATGGAAGCAGCTGAAAGAGCCTCCAGCACAGGAACCAAGGTGGAACGTGTGACACACGGAAAGTACTCAAGTACCAGAGGCACATGCCTTGAGTTCACTTTGTAGCTGCACTAAAGAAGGCTGTCACTGGAGGACTGCTGAAGGACTTCACCATGTCAAAGCCATCAAACCTCACGTTAAAGTGGAACAGGTCAACAGTAAAGATTCTTCACCCACCGTGAGAGCTTTTGTACTGCACTGAATTGTTGAGCATCTTCAAAGGGAAATGGAATACAGAACTCCAGAGCCTGGGATTTATCTTGCCTGCCACAGCAGCATTTTGAAATGGAAAGCATGCAAGGACCTTGCTGAGGAGCACAGAGGTGATAGTCAACTGTCAGCTCCTTCAGATGTTCCTGCACTTGAAGTGAGTATGTGGAAAATGTTGATGGAGGCCAAAAGTACAGTCAAGACATGGGTTTGATTTTTAGACACAAAAAGGGGACAGGCTGTCTAGTTCGTGCCACCCCATGGGTGAGTCAGTGCCCTCACCTGCTGCCCAGCCTGTAGTTTATCAAGGTTTGGTTTCAGTTATTAATCCAGCTTTCTGAACTACATCAAAACAAACCAACCTGCTCTGACATGGAAAGAGGAAACCCAAATAAACACTGTGGCAGAGTCCACACGGGCTGGGAAAGATATTTAACTAGATGAAGCAGTGGGCAGGAAGAGCCTCACCTTGTTTTCATAGCTGATAAAAGCTGGGCTTCCATGTGGAAATAATCCTTCTGTAGCGTACAGGCTGCCTGTGGCAGTGCATTCTCAGTTAGCATTCCGAGTACTAATATAAGGTCAAAGTAAGCAGCTCTTATCCAAAGCATTTGAATAAATATTTTGATGGAGTAGCATTTCAGGGCAGCTGAATACCAGCACTGCTCTCTCTAGGGACAAATAGTGTTTAAAGATCTTAGCATGGTGCTTTACTACAGCCAGTGATTAAGTACTCACTCTACATCCTGGCCTGAAGATTGCAGCACTGCCTAGGAACAGACCTTGCACTTGGGCCTATTTAGCTTTTAGCAGGGAAGGGAGGATTTAAGAGGTTTTCCAAAGCAATTACTGTTTGGAAGCATTTCAGGGTAGAACAGGAAAATCAAGGCAGCTTCTAAACCAAGTTTCCTCGACCCACCTCCCCTGTTCAGACGTGGAGGGGCCAGACACCAAACTTAGTCTAGACCTGTCCTGTATGCCCCAGGGTAATTAGCCTAAACCTAAATTGTGGCCTACGAGTGCAAAGTGGCTTCAAGTTCAAATTTGACTTTAGCTCAGAGACTCACCAATGATGTGCTGGGCTGTGTTGTCGTTGTCTGCAATGCTTTGTATCTGACCTTTCAGGGAAGTGTATGTCAGGGTACAAGCAGAGTAACCCAGCTGAGGGAGTCCTGCTGACCTCCTGGAGCACGTGCTCACCATGTCTTCTAAAGCTTCTTTATACCTAAATCATACAAAGGTACATGTGCTCTGGCCATAACTGAGATTGGCTGGGGAAGGGGGCTTCTCCACATGCCTGTGGAGTGTCACCACAGCCAGCTAGCTGTAGTGACCAACGTTAGCCAGAGCTCTGTGAACTAAGCCTCCCTTCCTGGCTCTTTGGCAAGCATTAAGCTGCCCTGCAGCTGACCCATGAAATGCTGATCAGCACTACTCATTTTTCCCCTCTGATCAAAAGGGGATCATTGCTCTAGAGTTAACTCCCAACTGAAAACACTGGCTGGCCTCCTCTACTCCTTGCAGTAGACCTGGCTGTTATTTGGATCTCAGATTCTCTTCCATGCCCAGAGGAGATTCTTGCCACTTCTCCCACAAAAACCAGTGCCCACATACTCATTCTTCCCCTTCTGGAAACTCAAAGTAACCCCCCTGGTACTCCTGCACCTTTCACAGGAGGACCTTTGTTACCTTTTTTTAGCCTACATACAAACCCAGGTAAGCTACATGAGGTGCTTCACAGATGCCTCTGGTCACTAGCAGGACTGAGGCTATGATGGTAAGCTCATTCACCTGCACTTGTACATCCTGCCTGATCCATAAGCAGTGTCTGTGAACAGAAACCAAATGAGCCTGTGGGTGTGGAAACAGCAGCTGTGATAACTTGGCAGATCTCAAGCCATGGAGCAGAGCTACAACACCCCTAGGAAGCTGAGTGGAAAGCAGCTGCCTGGCAGCAAGGAGGTTCAGTTTTGTGAACCCTCCAATTGTTTCACAGAGGGAAAACCCATGTGTAATGCTTCATGGTGTAGAGGGGACAGAGATTCTAGCAGTTCATCCTATAGAAAATACAGAAGCTGTAAAGGCACTCAAGCACTTTTCCTATCTCAGGGTATTCCTTTTGTCCAGGCTCCCAGCAGAGCAGATTCACGTATCCTCGGTTTCGCATGGATGCAAGACTAGGCAAAGTTGTGCTACTGGTGGCTGTGGTGTGGTGGCTGCAAAGAGGACATGGGCACTCCTGCTGCTGCTCATCACAGCCACACTCTCCAGGTTATCTGCAGTGGGGTAATGAAATGGATGTTTGCAAGGACAGATTGGTCAGGCTAAGTCAGTAAGAAGCAGATATGCCATGCTGCAGGCTGAAGGGGGGAGTGTGTGTGGAGGGAATGGCAGGGAATGGCTTAAACCACCAGTGACATACAGTCCTGTTGCCAGGACATGGGGTTAGGCTACTGTGGAGAACATTATATCGGATAGAGGCCTTCAGTCTCCAAAAAGCACCGTTAATGGAGTCTGATGAATGAGAGAGGCAGACAGAGAGAAATCCTCTACAGCCTAGCAAAAAAGATGTCTAGATCAAATGTAGGATTTCCTTTTTAAAATCTGCCTCCTAACATCATTTTGCTCATTCCTCTGGGGATCTCAAAACACTTTAAACTCCTGAGAACTTACAGTTCCTCCTGAGAAAGCTATTAGCTCTGACTTATGCATGCAGAAACTGAAGCAGTCTAAGTAACTTCTTTTCTGTGAGGTGTTAGTAAAAAGCCTTGAGGAAGGCACCCAAGAGTCCTCCAGCTCTTAGAAGCACTTCTCTCATCTGTTACTGAGCACATGATGAAAGCATCAGCTTTGGAATACTTCGGTTCCCTTCTAATGCTTTAATAACTCTTTTAGAAGGAGCAGTTCTCTCCCTTCCTCAGTGACTTAGTAGGCAGCTTCTCCAAGGGTTCCTAGAATTTCTTCTTTTCATGCTGGACAATGTGGTCTTGCAAATGAGAGCAGATGCTCTGGATGGTATATTCAGCATATCCATTTTCATCAGGCCCAGCACTCGGAAAATCTCCCTGGGATGAAACACAGTGAATTGAAGGTTTAATACTGGAGTGAATGCTGTAACTGGGGACGTTTTAGAATACTGAGAAAGGAGAATTTAGATCCTCTGACTTGATTCCATTTTCTTACAAAAGGTTGTTCAGTCTAATTGGAGTGGTCCCAAAAGTTACTCTCCAGTCTGGCTTCACAGTTGGTTGTGCCCAAAGAACCAGCAGTCTCCTTCTGTTCCAGGAACGCCACAGTTCCCCAGAGCTGCTCAACAGGAATTGAGGTTGCCCTTGCCTGCAGACTAAGGTAACTACTGGGAACACAACTTCTGGGCCACACTGTTGCTTAAAGCTTGGCTCTAATGACTCACTTCAGGATGTCTGGCTACAGTTTCAAATCTTGCAAAACCTCCTTTACCTGCATGAAAGAGGAGTTACCTCTCTGGCAGTTAATGGAAAAGCACAGACTGAAAAAGCAAGCTATGTGCCTCTTCATGCCCTGTTAGCACACGTGTCTTTTAGTGCTATTACTCACTACATTGTACACTTATTTAAGTAGATATTTATTTGAGTAGATACAGCCCCTCTTATACTTAAAAAGATGTCTTTGTAGAGAATTGCAGTTTTCCTTTGGCAGACACTATACCAGCAAGGGCCTACAGCTGTTACTGAGGCCAACTGCTCAAACAAAAGCTTTCCATTCTTTTGGTTGGTTATGTGTTTTAACGACCTGGGACCAGAGAATGAGTTTCCTTCTCAGGCAGGTTTCAGAAGGTGCAGTTGTGTCTCCCTAGAAATTACATGAAGCCTACTTTCTGCTCCCTCTTACACATGTTCCCGTAGGAACATCGGATGTGAGGGGTGACGGGGTGATTCAGAGAAGCCATTCTGAGGTAACCATCTTCTCTGGGCCAGGAACAACCCCACTCACCTGCTGCAGCAGCTGGGTTGGCCAGGGCTGGTCTGGGGCCCAGCAGGGAGCTGTTCCTGCACACAGTTCCAACAGGCTTTGTGCATGGGCTCCTTCACTGGGTTTTCCAGGCTAAGAGAGGAGGGGACAGGGTTTCTGTTAACACCAGACTCAGGCACTCAGATTGATGGAACCGTTCCTCTTGGTTCTTATTGCGGTTCATGCCTTTGAGCATTCCCTTCTCTTAGTCTTTACTCCTAACAGGCACAATACACCTCACCTGTCTCTAACTCACGGAAATCTTCCTCAATTTTGGCTTTCTAAAGTGGATTCCTTCCTTTCAACCCTGTTCACAGCCCCCAGCCCCCAGCCCCCAGCCTGTCTAACGGAGGGGTAAGAACAGCATGGCATTTACCCAGGAAACTTCCCAGACCCTTAGAGAAGATCAACAGAACGTTTCTCTGTGTTTGCCCTGAGCATCAGTCACTTAACCAGACCTTCAGCTACATGCAGACATCTCAGGGGAGATCTCCACCAAAAGTCTGCTTTGTTCATGGCACAGTCACAGCTTATGCAGCTGAAGGCTCTACATCTTTCAATGTTAGTGTTACCTGACATCATGGTTATGAACTTCTTAGTAAATCACAAAGCAATGAGTAAATTAAGCTCCAACATACCTTTTTTTTAATATATTTCAGGAGCTACCTTATTTTCTTGTTACTTCTCCTGTTACTTCCACTCCTTTCCACGTTCTCCCATGGAACCATAACGTGGCAGAGAAAAGCCAAGCCGGAACATTCACCCATAGACCCCAACGTGCCTGGGAGCCCTGCCCGCAGCTTGCAGTCACCACGCGGTGGGACTCCACGCACAGCGCTCGGCTTGGGAATGGCACCGGTTATTCCACAGAGCCCTTGGGGCGGGCCGGCTGTAGAAAGGCGCAGTGCAAGCGAGTGAGCAGGCACGGTAACGCGGGAGAGAAGTTCAACACCGGCCCCGCGCGGCTGCTGAGGCCAAGGGCAGCTCCACACAAACCGCTCTGGGCACGGGCAGAGGCCTTGCCTCGTCCTCCTGCTCCCGCGGAGCGCGGCTGACACCTAGTGACGGCGGGGAGCGGCGGCTCCTGCTCCGCCACAGCGCCCAGCCTGGGCACGGAGCTGCGCCCGCAAACGTTAATGCCACCCCGGTATTTAGCCCTGGGCAAGCGCTGCTGGCAGCGCCCAGGGAGACCCCCAGGCCCCGCTTCCGCCCCTTCCCCGTACCGGGCCGAGGGCCCGCAGCTCCTAGCCGCGGGGGCCGGGTCTCCCGTCACGGAGCCGCCATCAGCCCGCCACAGCTTCAAACGGGACCGAGCCATGGCGCCACGGGGGGGGAGCAGGGGCGAGCCGGCTGCCGTGGGCCCGGGGATGCCCCGCACCCGCCCTCAGGGTGGCCGCACCTCGCTGGCACCCAGGAGCACTGTAAGGTCTCCTGCAGGGCGCTGCCGCCTCCCGGGTGCGGCCTCGCTGATGGAGCTCGTCGGGTCGAACACCCCCCCGCGCCGGCGGCTATGGGCCGTCCCGCACCGGGGAAAGGCCGCAAGCAGCGGGGTCCTGCTCTCCCCTCCCTCGCGCATGGGACGCGCCGGGCAGAGGCGGCGCGGCTGGGATGGCCTGGCCCGGCCCATTGGAGGCGAGGGGGGACGGGGCCGTGAGGAGAAAGGGGGGCCCGGCCCTCTCTACCTGCCCCGCCATTGCGGTGCTCCCTATGGGCAACAGCTGCGAACGAGCCGGGCGGCCTCGGTCTGCCCAGCGGGGCTGAGCCGAGGAGCAGCGGTGGCTGTACCCGGCTGCCCCCGCTCCCCAGCAAGGGCAGCAGATCCCCCATGGCCCGCGGGCTGGGGCCGAGCGGCCTCGGACCTGAAGGCTCAGTGGCTGGCAGGGTGTTGAAATCAGACACGCCTGAGGGAATGAGGTGGGAAGGGTGACTCCGCAGAGCTGGAGAGGCTCCGGGGAGCGCTGCAGGGGTCGCAGCGGTGAAACACCCTTCCATCGTGCTTTGGTCACCTGGGTTTGCCCGGTTTTCCTGCCGGTGGACCCAGAAAGCAGCGGCTGCCTGCACTGCCATAACCATGCCTTGACTGCGCCGGGATTGGGATTAAACCTTCCGGAGGGCAAAACACCCGGTGTGGGAGGAGGCTCCCTGTGCACCAATAAACAAGTTGCCTTTTTTCTCCTTCCCAGCACTTCTTTTCCTCTTAATGTATTTCCCCAGCACCCAGTAACACCGACTCGTGCAGTCGGGTGGAGCCGGGAAGCGCTGGGGCACCCCTTGCCCCCGGCTGCACACACACGGTGACCCGCGCTCAGCCCCATGTGTGCAAGGGACAGGCATGAGAACCGGGGAGCTGGGGCCTTGATCCACCCCTTGTAAACCAGCCCTGGCACAGCTCCGGCCTCCAAAGCCTGTGAAAGGCTTCAGATGTCTGGGTGTTGTGGCCGGGGATGAAAGGCACAGGACTGGCACTGATGTGAGGAGGGACAAGGCCGTTCCCAGCCCTGATGAGTTACAGCTTCCCAGCTGGGCTGTGTGCACAGCACCGCGGCTCCCCGCCTGCTGCCCGTGCACGGCAAAGGGTCCCAGGTGTGTTTAAAGGGTTTAAGGAGCTGCCAGCATCGCACAGGGTTTGCGGCAGGATACGGGTGCAGTTAATGCAGTTCAGCTGGTGCGTTGTAACCCTTTTAGCTGTCATAAATGATTGAATGCTGGGAGTAGCCATAGCCTGAAACTGTGTCTGCCCTGCTGTGTCCCTGCAGCACAAGGCTCTGTCAGAGTGATCTTAAACCATGGCTCTTCCCTGTGAGGGTGCTGAGGCGCTGGCACGGGGTGCCCAGAGAAGCTGTAGCTGCCCCATCCCTGGCAGTGTTCAAGGCCAGGTTGGACACAGGGGCTTGGAGCAAGCTGCTCCAGTGGAAGGTGTGGCAGGGGTTGGAGCTGGAGGAGCTTTAAAGTCTCTTCCACTCAACCCAGTCTGGGATTCTATCCTTTCCTCAAGCCCCTGGGGAGCTCTGAAAGTCATCCCATCAAAGAGCAATAAGGGAAAACTGCTTAGCTTGGGCAGCACTGCAGCTACATCAGATAATGCCTGGTCCTTGGCTGGAGAAGGATGCTGCTGAGAAATGACCTCGGGAAACCACCCATCCCAGCTCTTTCCTCTCACTTGAAGCACTCCAGGGCCTGTCCAGTGTGTTCGGTTTGCCCTGTCCTCAGGGGGAATTCACCTCCTCCCGAACACAGAGCTATGTGGTGCAGTGGCACAGGCCTCAGCACAGGCAGGTGGACACGGGGTTTGGGTGTGGGGTTGATTTAGTTTAACTGTTTTCCCATGGGAACACATCTCGGTGCAGCCCTGGGCAGGAGCAGGGCTGGCTGCTCACCGTGCACAGGTTGGCAATTGTGTCAAACTTCCCAAAGACACCATGTATGCAATGCCTGGGAGAGGCAACTGCAGCAGCTTTTGGTGGCACCTGCATGGAAAACTGAACAGCAGGAGAAGGTGATGGGGCTCTGTGCATGTGAAGCATCTATGTGTGGGTTCCTCCCAAAGAGCTCCTACACCTACTTTGAGGGGTGGTTGCTCTGCTCAAAGCCACAGGACGGGGCAGGAAAGAAACTCCTCATGAGAAATAAACCCAGGAAAGCTCACTATGGGACCAGGCTGGCCCAGGAACGAACTCCCCCCAGTGCTCCCTGTTCAGCTTTGCACAGTGCCAGACCCTTCTGCTCCTTTCTGCTGCTCAGCCTCGTGTGAGGAAGGTGAGGGTGGGGAAATAGCATTTACAGAGAATAAGACAGCACAGCTCTTGAGGTGACTTCAGTTTGCTCACATCTACCTGTGTCAGTGTGGGGCCCGCCATTCCCAGCCTATAAATCCTCATCCCAGAGGATGCAATTGTATATATTTAAATATACATGCATTTGCCCTGCATGTATTTCCCTTCCCAGGTGACTGGTGACATGAAGAACTGTAATAGCAGGCTGTATTTGTAATGCTTTTCCTACAGATTTCTGCAAGGGAATCTGGTTCCTGGGTGGTTTTAACTTGCCACAAAGGCACAAGACCTCAGGAGCACTGGTAATAGGCAGGGTGGGTTCTTTTTAATCTACTGTTTTAATGAGCTTCATCCATCTTTCTGATTAGATTAATCTCATTTATTTCAGCCAAGCCATCCAGCTGAAATCCCAACAGAGGAAATTGGGATTTTGAGTCTCTCGGGGCGAGTGTTTGAGTATCAGGCAGCCAACTCCACAGGGACATTTGCAGTTTGCCCTTTTATCACCTCACAAGTTTGTAACCCTGATGATCACATTGGAAAGGGACCATCCAAGCTCTGAACCTGTCTGCATCACCCACAGCATCAGTTATGTGCTGTGGAGAGCCCATGTGTCTCTCCTCTGCTCTTTTTGAGCAACTTCCCTAAGGAAACAAAACCAACCTAGCGGGGAGGGCTCAGCTTTCCAAAACAGCTCCCATTTTCCCTACAGGAGCAGAGATAGCTCCACGGCTGGAGCATCTTCTCCAGTGGAATGGCCACGCTTCTGCAAACCCACCAGCATGACCCCACCAGGCACAGTGAGGCAGCAGAGGGTGGGAAGGTTCCACTTGTTCAAACAAGCTGCAGCCCATGGAAAGGGAAATGGTTTAAAAGCTGCTGTTGATTTTTCAAGCCTGACAAATGTGAAAGTCTCCATTTAGAGGAGTCAAACCAGCAGTGAAATGGGTCCCTATCTGCACAGCCACACACTGATGGAGGCAGCTGAAAGCAAACTTCCTGCTGAGTCCTGGTCCAGATCACCTACGAGCACAGTGCACCAAGCTGTGAGCAGCCGCCTGGCCATGGAAGGTTCTCTGCAAACATGCAAACCCTGTACCAGCATGAGAGGTAAAGCCCAGTTGGTGTTACAGCCCCTCACTTCCAAGAAGTGGAGCTTGGAGCCTACAAGCTACAGCTTTGGCTCTGCTATGAGGAAGGCAATCAGGGGGAAGGGCAGAAAACATTATCAGGGAGGATGTGGAGGGCAGAGCCAGGAGTTTCCCTCTGCCCCATCAGCCAGGAAAGCTGATCTTGCAGGAGCCCCTGGGATTGGTTTTGTGCTGGATGCTGGTGGATCTGGGAGCAGACAGGTGGATCCTGAGGAGCTCACAGCTTCTGAAGTGGTGTTGTCCACCTTGTCCAGGTGAGAAGGTGTTGTGGCATTGGGTCTGCTGTAGCCTGATTTTGGTTTGAACCCTTTGGAGAGGTATCTGCTGCAGTGATGGCTCTGGGGTGGGTGTGCAAGGTGTCTACGTGCTGTAACACACCGCATGCTTCACCAATGACTACAGCATCTATTTATTCCCTTCTCCAAAGCTGGTGCGTGACCTTTTCCATGAGACATCCCATACACATGAGCTGGCAGTTGCCACCTCAGTCACGACACCCATGTCCAAGCCGTGGGGACTGGCCACTGTGAGCAAACCATCAGCCATCCTGCCCAGCCTCTGCGGCCAGCTCCTGATCTTGGGGCATTTCACAGTGATCTCATCATCCATACACTTAGGGGATGGGTTGGTGCTGGGTAAACTGAGGCTTGGGGAGGTTTGGCTTGTGGTCACATAGGCAGTCTGACTGGAGCCCAGGTGTCGTGGTTGGGTGATGGGCATGGATCCAAGGAGATGCTCCTTGTTCTTTCACCCATTTGGACATCTCAGGACCCAGAATCAGTTTTGGACCTCATGTGCTGGCTCTCGGTACTCACATTTGCTGACTTCACTTAATTATCGGAGCACTCAGTGCAGAGCTCAGCTCTGGTGACGCTGTGGTATGGGGTGGCCCAAACCACACACAGTGCTCAGGGAGGGATTTTGATCCCTAAAAAAATAACAAGTTCAAAGGTGGGTTTTGGCTTAATGCGGTTTATCTAAATTGCTTGATGTTTGCTAATCTGGATTAACACAAATGCTCTTGGAATGGCTGCTTGGGGAAGGGCTTGCTCTGCTGTTGGGAAGAGGACAGGCTTTTCTAGAAGTGAAAGCTTTGACCAGAAAAGGAAATAAGAGCCAGGTCCTGGCTGGTGCTCAGTGTGTGTGAGCTCTGTGAACAGAGCAAGTCTGTTTCTATCCCTGCTGGCCAAGGGGTCCCTCAGCACCTCCATAAACTAATGACTGATCAGCTTCCCCTCTGCCAGCAGAGGATTAATCCCCTCTTCTCTCTGGGGTGATGTGAACCCCTCTTTTGGCTGTTATGCCAAAGTGGTTGGCACAATTAGTGAAGGTGAAGGTAAACTGGAGGTCAAGCCCAGATTTGAAGGTGGTGGTGGTTGGCGTGAGCGTGACCCAGAAGCCATGTGATGTGGGTGACGTCCTGGAGAAGCAGGTGATCTCCCCGTCCTCCCCTTTCCAAAGGCTGGGATTAGGAGAGATTTTACAGCTCACTGCCCAGCCTCATGTTAAGTTTAGGTTTGCAATGGCTCAACCCCCCTGGCCCCTTGTCAGGAAGGACTTTTGGGTCTTTTGTGGCCATTTTGCATGTTAGCAGGGCAGCTCATGCCTGCCGGGGACCTGACTATGGGAGGGATCACCCCTCTGCCATCTGTAGGGACCTCTTCCCACCTTGAGAACAGGCAGAGAAACACCCAGTGTGGAAACTGGGACTCATGGAAAGGGATTTCAAAGCCCAGCACTCTGGAGAGGGTTGTCTCATGCTTGTGCATTCACTTGGGATCTGGGTGCACTTTTGTGTCCCACAGAATGCTTCTTGTGCAGCCTCAGGCTGGTCCTTGCACCTTGGAGCTTGGTTTTTCCCATGCAGTGGGGAGAGCAACCTTTTCCATCAGCTGCCTGTGATCAAGGATGCTCAGGTGCCATAGGAGAGGGCAGACATCCATTGGGTCAGCTCCATGAAGGATCCAGCTCTCGGCAGCCACAAGCAGCAGCAGGAAAGCAAAGTGCTTCTGCTGAGCTGAAATGGAAGTTGTAAGTGGGACCTGATCGCTGCCCAAAAACCAAAGGACTCCCTCCTCCTCCTCCTCCCCTGCCCCAGTGCAAACAGCAGATTAACAATTTATTTGACGTGTTGTGGCTGGTTGGTTTCTTCACCCACTCCCCTGATCAGAGGGAATAAGCGTCGCAGTGTGCAAGAATGTTCATTTCAGGTGAGGGTAAATATAGAAAGGAAAACCTGCTGAGAGCAAGCCATTTATTTCTGCGTTTGGAAGCCTCTGCTCATAAACAGGCAGTCACAGCCATTTGGAAAATCCCAGCGTGGTTCCCTTGGCCATCCCAGAAGAACATTTACTTTCCTGGAGGTTAAGAAGTTCATTTTAGATTAAAAAAAAATTAATAATAACATAATAATGGCATCTCCCAGCTGCCCTCGGGGGTTCAGGGCTTGTTGACACACTGAGGCTGCTGTGTCCTCACGTGGAACTGCTCCAATGCAGGATCACAGAGATCCTGTAGGGCTTTCCCAGCTGGCAGTGCTATGGGGGAACCTTGGTTTTGGGGTTCCCCTTGTTTCCCCAGCTTATCATAGAATGGTTTGAGTTGGAAAGGACCTTAAGATCATCCAGTTCCACAGGCAGGGACCCCTTCCACTGGAGCAGCTTGCTCCAAGCCCCTGTGTCCAACCTGGCCTTGAGCACTGCCAGGGATGGGGCAGCCACAGCTTCTCTGGGCACCCTGTGCCAGCGCCTCAGCACCCTCACAGGGAAGAGCTTCTGCCTTAGATCCAACCTGAACTTCCCCTGTTTCAGTCTGAACCCATCACCCCTTGTCCTATCACTGCAGTCCCTGGTGATGATTCCCTCTCCAGCATCCTTGTAGCCCCCTTCAGATATTGGAAAGCTGCTTGTGTTGGGCTTTGGATTTTGTCAGACCTTTTACCCATGTGTAGGGTTAGAACACCCAGGTTTTGGGGGTGCTGGTGGTGAGGATGCAGTGTGGTACTTGTAGGGATCTCAAGAGCCCTGTGCTCGGGAGGCTGGGGCAAAGGGATGATCCTGTCACACTGAGCTTGTGCTGGACCAGAAAGCATCTGAGGGTTTTGGGAGAGCGTGCCAAAGACAAGAGGAGAGTGTGGACCGCAGGAGCATCCATCAAACAGGCCAACAGCCAGGGTAAGGCTGTGCCACACTGCTGCAGCAGCATGGGAGAGACACTCCAAAATGGCATCACAGGAGGGGGTTGAGGAAGGTCTTGGCCAGGCCCTGCATCCCTCCTCTATCCTGAAAGCAGCGCTAAGGAAAACCATGTGGGGAGAGCAGCCAGCTTGAATTGGACGGCTGCCCCACGGCTGCTCCCCATGGCTGGCACCGGCTGAGCAGGAGCCAGCTCCCAGCTCTGAAGTTTCCTGCAGTCAATAAGGGTCTCTCCGTGTTTTCCACAGGCTCTGGATTTGGCTCGGGTTTGCCTTGGTTTCCGAAGGCAAGAGGCAGTTAAGTCTCTTGGAAGAATGAATTAATTAGCAAATGCCTTTGGTCAGGTCAGTGCCCTCGAGTAAAAGCGTGTTTCATGCTTTAAAGCAGAGCCTCTGCATCCAGGTAAGCTTTAAAAAGCTTGTATTACCCTCAGTATTTTAAGAGTTTCACATACATCATCCTGGAGGAGCCCTTTCTAAAAAAAAAAAAGAGGAAAAAAGCCTCCCCCAAGCGTGGTGTTGACTCTAAGGTAGCATTTGTATAAGCAACATAATATTGACGCAGTTGGCTGAGGTCTGGCTGGGGCTGTTGGAAATAAACTGCTGCCTTGTTAAATTGTCACTGGAAATGCAAGTGGGAAAAGGACTCACATCTTACACATAAAATGCTGCTTTACTACAGCAGGAAAAAACTCAGGAATTAATAGGTCTCCTTCTGCTCGAGGGTGTTGGATTTAACCCCGAGTAAGATTCATAAACTATTTTAAGGAGAGAAGTGCTACTTTTAAACACTTGTGTCTGGGTCCTGGAGTTAAAGTGGTGTCACTGGTGCTGAGTTAACCCTAAAGTCCTCATGTGCTGGCCCCGGGATCATGCAGGCGCAGATAGTGCTCTTGTGGAATATACAGACACATCAGCACCTGATAAGCGTGTGTGAGGTTGGTTTTGACGAGTATTAAGCACAGTGTGTTCCAACAGCTTGTGTCAGAAACGTTTCAGGCCTCAAATTCTTCAGCTTTGAAGAAGCTCTTCCCTGTGAGGGTGCTGAGGCGCTGGCACAGGGTGCCCAGAGAAGCTGTGGCTGCCCCATCCCTGGCAGTGCTCAAGGCCAGGCTGGATGGGGCTGGAGTAACCTGGTCTCATGTGAGTTGTTCCTGCCTGTGGCAGAGGGGTGGAAATGGGTGATCTTAGGGTCCTTTCCAACACAAACTATTCTATGAATCAAGCTGAACCCTGAGCTGGATTTTGTGTGTAGGACATGAAATGCATTTAAAACAAAACACTTGCTCCGAAGCTGTGCCTGGGCTGAACATGAAGCAGACACAGAGCGTTGCTGAATCCATCTGGAGGGTAATCCAGTGCACCCCGAAAGACTCCTTTGGATTTCAGTAGCTGTAAGAGCTATTATCAGGCTATCTTCAGTGGGAAATGTGATTAACAGAGCTTTAACGAGTGATCTATCACTTTCTTTTCTACCCAAAGCCCTTTTTCCTTCTCCACCCACATCCTGATGATGTGCCAGTTGACATACATGTGCTTATGGAAAAGGAGGATGAGATAAAAGCCATATGGAGCATGGAGCAAGTCAGTGGCATGGGGTCCAACTCACCAGTGTAATTATACATGCTCCAGTATGATTTCCCAGTAATTATTCTGGAATAAACCCCTGCCTATTTCTGTAAGAGCTTATGTCACCTGGAAAGCTGTTATAAATTCAGCTGGAAAAAGGGACCCTTATTCTGGGATAAGTGTGGTTAGTGGTTAGCTGGGAATAGGGCTATTCCTGGTGCTGCCATCGACCTTCCTGATGACGCTGGTTAGGTCACCTCACCTCAGTGTGTGTCACCTTCTGCAGACTGGGAATTACAAACAAGGGCACTTTGGGAAGCTTCGTGACACTGGAAAAAAGGTGTCAGAGGGTGACAGGCAGACATTTAGTGGGACTTGGGGCTTTTTTATCCACATTGGAGGCATCTTGATAAATGGGGCTTTGGGAGAAATGAAGGATGAAGCCGGGAGCTGGTGATGGGGACTGGTGGCATCAGTCAAGTCCAGGCTGTTGGTGCGTTACAGAGAATACTGTTTTCCTCTCTGTTTTTAAAATAGTCTGTTTTGTTCTGAGCTCTAGACCACAGCCTCACTAGAGCATCGAAATGTCTCTGCTCTGTCTTCTTGCGCCAGCTCCTAGTGTGCAGTGTGAGGATACGGTACCAGCACCCACCACCCCAGCTGCTGGGTGCTCTGGGTGCTGTGAAGAGGTGAGGTCCTGCCTGGGACTGGCAGTATTGTGCCTCTGTGAACCAGAGAGGAAGGGAAATCTCCTGACTTGCAGCATTGTGTCCTCTTTTTCTTCCAATATCCTGTCTGATTCACTTGCTGCTCCTGCAAGCCCTCAGGTCTTTTATGGGAGTTTTGCTTTTGCCTGTTACTTCTCAGCAGCTTCTTGTGCTTAGAAACCTCTTTTGGCTCCAGCATCATGCAGGTATATGGTCAGAGATGAAGATGCAGCTCACTCACAGCATAGGGCATTGAATTCATGCTAGAGATGGGGAGGTCTAGTTCCAAAGTCTCCTTTAGTTTGCAGATAGCACAGGGGGGCTCACAAGCCACAACCCATCAGCTTTGCCAAAGCAGGAGCTGCCCATGGAGCAGATGGACCAAGGTGCTGATGGTGAGAGGTGAAGGGAGAGTCTGTCCCGGTGCATTCCCACGCGCTCCATCCCGGCGTGAGCACTGGAGCAGGACTCGTGCTGCTCCTCTTGGGCTTGAGCCAAGGAGGCAGAGGGGAAAAAGCTCTTTACAGCCCATTAGACCTCCCCAGAGCCGCTCAGCCCCTCTCCTAATAAAAGTGGTGGTGGAAGCCACAGAAACATTACGGCTGGTCTGCAGAAGATGCCAACCCACTGCTCCATGTACCTCCCCAGTGGCTTTGCCAGAGCTGCTGACCCTCCCGGCAGCCCCGGCTGCTGGAATTCCCTCTGGGAACACAGGGCCAGTCCCCTGTCTGTCCTGAGCTCCCCCAGCAAAACATACATGGGAGAGTTCCAAGTGCAAATGTGTGTGTGCTAATGGGAAATGAATTGCCTCTTGCCCCGAAGCTTTGCAGCTTGAGGAAAACAAGGCCGGGTCTAGGAATGACCTCATATTGCCTCCCAGGGAATGTTTTGCCAGATGAAGGGGGGAGAAGCAGCATCAGGACTGCACAATGTATGTATCTCTCTCCCTGTGTAAACATCTCTGTAGCTGCAGAAACCTCTTAAACCCCTGAATGAGAGAAGCGCTGCTTTGATCTGTGGATGTGGTTGTTGTTTTCCAAGTGCAGAATCCGTTCTTTTTTTAATTTTCCTTCAAATTAAAAAAATGCCTGTTGTGATCTTTTGCTTTTATTCCTTGGCGAAGGGACGGGAGCAGGGTGCAGTAAATTCTCATTCCTCCCCATGTAACCGCTTCGGCATGGTTGACAATCCCTCGCTGGCTCTTCAGCGCCGCAGCACAATGGACCGAAACTTCTGGCCCTACATGAAGCCAAAGCAAATGGATTTTGCCCAGAAGTGCACAACGGGGAGTGGAGGCAGTGGGAAGGAGACTCCTGTCGCCTCCTTCCCTGCCAGAAACACGCATAGAGACACACACGTGTGTGTGCACAAGGCTTGGGATGGAGGGGTTGTCCCAGTGCTTTTGAAGGGCTCCAGGGAGGGCTCCTGGGAATGGATCCCTGCAACCCTGCAGCAGCAGGAGCTGGTGAGGAGCCATCGGGGCTGAAGCACTGGGTTGTCTTGCAGGAGGTTTGAGTGTGATTCATGGCTCTCCCTCCAGACTCCCTGTGTGATCTCAGGACTCTCCGTCTGCACTCTGGATGTCCCTGTGCTCGGAGGGGAGCTGTGGCAGCCCTGGGACCTCCATCAGCCCTTCTGCTCAGCCACTCCTCAGGCTTTGGGAAGAAAACAAGATTATGTATTTATCTGGGGAGTTTCCAAGCGTCAGCAGCTTGCCCTAACCCTGCTGCTGTGCCATGGTGCTTCACAACCCTGTCGGAGGAGTGAGACATGGGGTTTGCAACCCCTTTGCTCCCTATGGTGTGAGCGATGCTGCCTTCAGCTGAGGACCTACCTTCAACAGCAAAACGCAGCCCTCAGTGCAAGGCACTGGTTGAACTGGGAGCCTTTGGCTGGAGATCTGTCCCCACCGGGCAGTCTGGGTGTGAGCAAGGAGTTTGCTGTCCCCCTGTGCTGTCATGTGGCTGCCCGGTGTCTTGGCGTTGTGATTACATATGATGCTGTGTATTTAAACTGGTTTATGGATGTTTATACTAATGTGTAAACCTGTAATTTAGAAGCTCGGTTATAAATCAACATCGCTGAAGGTCTTGTCCCTTGTGCCTTGAGATCAGTTTC